CTCTGTTTTTTATTGTAACCTTAATTTTGTTTTTTTTTTTATTTTAATATACATGTATGTATGACTGAGGTGTAAGTTGTTTTCCTCTAGTGAATCCCGTAGGTTTCCCACACGCACACACATCTGTTCTCTTAAAAAGGCGTCCTGAGGTTATCTCATAAATCTCTCCACTGGGTCAGCCGGTGAGTAGTCCGCCTGAGAGGACAATTTTACTATTTGTAGTAGGCTTTCAACATCATCAAATGCTAGATCGTTTAGCCACAATTTAGAAATAAATACATTTAGATAAGTTTAAAAAAAGTCTAGATGCAAGATTACTATAGTGTTGTTGAGCAAAATTGCTTATGACTTTTGGAACTGGACATTTGTCTATCTGTTTGCTCGATGGTTTCAAAAGCGATAAAATTAAAGATCGTCAATACAAAAACAAAAGAGAAAAGCGCATTGATTAGTTTTGTCTTTTTTCATCATTATCTGGGTACCCTTAACCCCATTTTCTTTGGGGTCGGCGCAGGAAGTATGATTCGTCCATTCTACTCTATCATTAGTCATTATTGTTAGGACTAATACCAGCCGCAACTTATCGCCATCGTTCCACACGGCAAAATTTTCATCTTCATCACCTGGATAATTGGCGCTTCACTACTATGCGCTTTTCGAGACACTTGCGTATCGTCTGCGGTATTTCCGGACCGATACGACCTTCTAACCTTCAAGAAAAGAGCGTACTCATTCCTGAAAGGCCGGCAACGCGTTTGTGACTCCTGCGTTGCAGACGTTCATGGGCGAATCCATCCACCTATTCTTGTACCTTTTCACTCCCTCTTAGCCAATAGCCATTGCCAATTCTACAACTTAATTCTGCTTAATAGATAGATTTTTTTTCTAAAAGAGCAAAAGGTATTTCCAAATTAAATCGAAATTATGGTTACCCTACTCGAACATTGTATGAGATAACATTATTTTTGAGATTGCACGCCGTTGAAAACTGTTCTGAGGGTAAAACGAAATGTCATACTAATGGCGTTAATAATCATGAGGAAAAAATTGATGTTCACGCCAAAATCCTAGCACTTAGATAATAATATATCAGGCTCCAAAGTAACGTTTCGACTTCGCGGCCACATACCTTCTTACTGATTTTACTGGTTGTTTCTGGTTAACTAAACTTTAGTACTCGTAGTATTTATTGCTTTCATTAGCTTTGACAAATGAAGAACTTTCTTGTAACAGTTTTACCTACTGTGTAAGTTTTAAAGAAATAATCAAAAATAAATAAATAACAAGTGCACGATTGTGCAGCCATGACTTCTAAAGTGGATATTTCGTAAAATATTGACCTATAGCTTATAATTTTTTTTCGTCAAATTTAGTCTTCAATTGACAAAAAGAATAACATCTCTTACTTAACTAGTTGTTGAGACCTCCGTGGTCAATCAATCAATCAATCAATTCTCCACGTTTAATTAAAAACCCTCGACACAAAAAACAACTTTAAAAATATGTAATCCGCCATTTTGTGGCGGCGGCCATCTTGGACCGATTGCCATCAAAGATAGCTAAGAACACTGCCGACTAATTTACCTTTCAAACAAAAAAACAAAATTAAAATCCGTTCATTCGTTCGGGAGCTATGATGCCACACAGACACACACATATAGACACGTCTAACTTATATATAACACCCCGTCGTTTCTGCGTCAGGGGGTTAAAACCTTATAACTTCTTAATTTCAACTTTGACAAATTTTTGGTTTGTGCCCTTCGATTCTGAGAAAATTTTGGCGATATTTTTCTTTTTAGCAATCGAAACGCACACGAAAGGGTTTAATCCTGAGGTGGTCCCATTGTCACGAAGTCAGGATCTGATGATGGGATCAGTGTGGTGGCAATGTACCAAGTCCACCGCCTCTAGTTTGGCAATTCTCCGAACAATGTATGTGATCTTGGTTCGTCTGCGGATCTCCTCATTCCTGATTCAATCACGCACGCAAGAAACTTCGAGATTTGCCACAATGACCACATCTCTGATGTAAGTCACAACTCACTAACACTACCCGTAATACAGATAATTTTAATTTAGCTATTATTATACCCACAGACCAAAACAAGACTGAAGGCCAAAACTCATGTAACGGTCCAATTTTATTATTAATTAATATTTAATTTTTATTAATTAATATAAATTATTATCAAATAATATTGAAGGGATTGGTAGATGGCGCTATCGGCTACATTACTGAAATTCTTTGGTATCAGTGTTGTCAAACATAAAATGTACTAAAAAGATGTACCAACTATTAGAATCAACTTTGGAAAAGACGGCATAAATCTTATTAACCCTAAAGCCCTACAGTTTTCAGCAAAATTCAATTAGGGGATGGTTGAAAAAAAGATGTTTCGCTTTATTTTGTCATGGACTCAAATATGAACAAAATGCAAGGCAGAGCCGTAGATTGATGAGGACAGTGGCGTTTAGGACCTAGCTGGTTATTTTGCAGCTTTTGTACATTATCTACATCATCATTATCTTGTTTTTTAATAAAACTGTTTAACTTAAAACGTATTGTACCTATTTTATTTTTGAATTCCCACTAGTTCGACCGTCGAACTAATGAGGAAAACTTTCACTATTTCGACGATCGAACGGATGAATCAAACTATTGAGCACAAAGTTTGAAGAGGTTTGTACAACCTGGAATTTATTCCAGTTTGCAATTTTTTAAACTGTTACAATACCGATATGAGAAATTACGAATTAGTCCTAATTAGTGATGTGCCGGATATCCGTATCCGTATCCGCGGATATTCAAGGGAGAAGAGAGATCCGTAACCGTATCCGTATCCGTGACTTTTTTGGCGGATCTTTCAATACATATTACATAGATGAAATTCTATATAGGTGATTTTGTATTCACTGTAAAACTCTTAGGTATGTGTTTGTAACACTATTAACAGCTACTTTTTTCTGGCCAACGTCAAAATGAAAAAAATTGGTCCTCCATTCAAATGACCAATCAAATGTTGTTAGTTTGTATGGAGAAACAATTTTTTTTCTTTCGTTTTCGGTGTTAGTCCAGAAGAAAAGTTGTTGTTTATAATGTTACTAATATGCACTTCAGAGGTTTTCAGTAAATTTAAAATAACCCTGAATAATGGTTATTAGGTAGCTATGAAAAACTATTGAATTCTGTTCAGATTACTTTTTATTTCTTAAAACAAATATTTGGCACCTTTGTATTGCAATCATTTATCGTACTACACTAAATCAACTGGGCAGGTCGTAGGTACTGCAAGAGCTATCTTTATAATGAAATCAATCAAACATCTTTGTATTAGCTTATTAAAATAATGAAATATTTAAATATCAACGGCAAAGCATCAAGTGGCGACAACTATCAAGGTCACGGGCTCCGATTGAGTAAGGAACTTAAGATCCGTATCCGCGGATTTTGACACCAAATATCCGTATTCGTATCCGTATCCGCGGATATACTTTGTTAACGATCCGGCACATCACTAGTCCTAATGCGACGTTTGTACTACTTGTCACAGCTCTATTATCCATGTTGAATTACGTTTTGCACCCATGAGCATCTTCCTTCTGCTAGGACTACGTTCTAAGTGGGTTCATTCTCACAATAAGGTAAATAAAACAAGAGGTATAATAAAAATTATTTAATACAAAGTGTTTCGATCTGTCGATCGTGAACACGGTCGAGACTAGCTGCAACAACAACACGGTTCGGTGGCCGCCGCCGCACAACGCCACGCTGAACGCGCGCTGTGCCAGAGCGTGCCTCGGACCGCCAGCCTAGTCTCACTGGCTAAATGTAAATGTTATAAAATTGTACTTGCAATAGGCACGTACATGTATCATTAGCGAAAGTCGGTAAACGACTGTTACTGGATGGTTACAATGAAAAAGTCGTACGCAGTGTTTTGACAATGTATTACTATTTTATTTAGTTCATGTATTAATCTGAATCATTCTGGATGGGTGCAGGAGCGCCGCACTGACGCTCATGCTTGGCGCGCGAGCGATGGACGCCTCGCGTCCTAATATATTTTATTGTTTGTTTATCTCTATGTACACAAAGCAGCGGCTCCTTATTTCTACTCAATTTAAGCTATAAAGTTCCACTCGAAATATTCTTACAAATAACTAGCTACGTCGTTCGTGCTCCGGTGGTGGCCCTACCGGTACTGGCTACGAATAATACAATGTGAACAAATGTAACTCTCACACAATTATCTACCATTTCGTTTTAGAATTAACGCACACTGTAAAGTGGCTATATCACGGCACGGACGCGCACGTATCAGTATAGAGTGCGTGATGGCGTTCATTGTTCAAGAACATTATTTATTATTCGTAGAGTACAAGTGTATATTTATAGTAAGCTAACTTTACAGTAACATCTAACGTAATATCCTTACATATGTATCACTTGTAGTAAAATGCAGAGTCGTGATACTGTTCTACTTGAATTAAAGTTTCTAGTAATGTATGACACACCGGCTACTTATAACGAACAAACGTGTCGGAGGCGTCGCTCCGACGAGGACTGGGGACGCTACTGCGCCACTATAGGTTCGATATACACAAAATCTTGTTCACGGGCACGAAATCTACTAAAAAACGCAGATGCAAACTAATAGTAGTGACGCGCGTCAGTACCCATTAGTTGCACAAGAGCCGAGATGGCCGAACAGTTGAACCGATGTGTCGATCCCTCCGGGCCTCGAGAACAGTTTGATATGTTCTGCTCGGGGCATCGGTTATCCTGGCGGTGCTGAATGTTGCGTCCCGGAGGTCCAGCCCGCGCAGCGTGTGCGAGTATCGCATAATACTGAGATGTCGTCGGACGCCGGTCACCACACCACTCACAACACATAACTACTAGCTAAGGACATGATTATCATATAATAAGTAAGGGGAGCGGCGCCCTGCAGGCTGCGACACTTCGCCCCACGATCCATGAGATTTGGTTCCATATCTTACAGAGTTTTCGCTTTCTCTAGCAACTCGTTTATGAATTTCTGAAAAAGAAAACACACATTGAACACAATTACTAACTATCGCAAAATAAAAACTAAGCTCTTAAACTAATACACGCACACACACACTCACCCACATACACACACACTGACGCACATGCGCACACATGAACGCGCATACTTATAAAAAAAAACGAATATCTATAAATGTTTTTAATGGGCAACGATATTTATCTTTATTTTTTTTTTCTCATTATTTAGACAAGTATAATACAAACTTTGTACTATGGGGAGCCTGGCAATATGTGTGAGAGGGTTCCCTAGGGCAGATGCCAGTCGCCCACAATGGTCTTGAGCAATTACTGTAATAACCTAGTTGTAAGTAATCATTGTGGAAAAGAAAATAAACTTTATCTTATCTTATCTAGGGGTAATTAGATATAAAAAAACACACATTTTTAGCGTTAGAAAACTTGCAGTATAATATATATATACTGTAATACAGTATTTTTAAATATTTGCACAAAAGGGTACAAGAATAATTGATGTCTTAAATGATTTAGAGACGTTAAATTAATTACAAGGTAGTCCCTGCTTTTTAACAAAAGCTAATGTAAACACTGCTCTTTGTGACGTTTGTGTAAAGTTACAATGTCTGTGGAACGAAAGAGGTGTTCCTCAACCGTCCAAGTGTTACGTAACACGATGTTTTACTAGTTTATTCTCAATATATTTATTTTGTCAATAAAGAAATGTACTTATCATGAGGTCAAAAAGTGTAGTCACATCATCATCTTCATGTCTTGTTCTCAATTTAATATGGGAACGCCGCACTAAACCTACATATGTACCTTGCAATATCTCTTATTCTCTTCTGTTTCCCTATCGGAAACTTGCTTCTTCGATGAGGAAACGAGTTTGAGAATTCAAGTTCGAAACGAAATACTCGTTTTGTCGTCTTGGCCCTTGCAGCCAAATCAAAACAAATGTAACATAAAGAGGGCGTCGAAGAGACTAAAACCTTCGCCACCTTGTGTACCTGGATAAGGTCGAACTGTCGATCTCTTTCAAAAACTCTTGATGTATTGTGCATTATTATTATATAACAGCTATGTACATATAAACATTATACTCACATTTACATCTTTTTGTGGTTTTTTGGCATCCGCTAATAAGGTCTGAAAATAAAATTTACAAATTAATGCATGTATCGCAAGTAGAACTGCTGTGTGTGTGTGGTACACAGCGGTGGCACAAGCTTGTTGTTTATGAACTGCTAAATAACAAACAACTTGTAGATGCTAAAAATATTTGTTGCTAAGTGTTGTTAAGTGTGTGATTTGTTTGTTTCCGGGAACCGATCGAACGTTTATTCGATTTAATTACGAATTTACCCCGATGGCATTCAATAGAATTAACAACCTCAGTGGAAAAACACAAAAGAATCCAGCGGAAGACTGTCAGCTATTACAGTAAAAGTTTTTGTGGACTATTTAGAGTGATCGGAGTAGCGGGTGTGTGTGCACACGTACCGTGAGATGTCTGCGGCGGTGCTCGTCGCTGTCCATGTCGAGTAGCTCGTCGATGTCCACTTCCACCTCCTGCGTGCTGCTCCCGCCCCCGCTCTCCTTCTGTAATGCAGATAATAACGCGTATTTAGCACATAGCACCCAGCATCTCACTTATTACAACTAACTAGCAACTAAAACTACATCACTGTACAAGGGTAATATCTCCTCTATTTGGTATCGTCTCTCTTAAACATTCTTGAACACAGCTATCATCATGGGTCATCATCGGATCGATACTTGTTTTTTCTAAGATTTTCCCAACTGTAGACATCCTTGCTAGTCGAGGTCTTCGGTCGCATCGCATCATCACATGTACATATCACATCACGTGTATATACATTTTGACTTTGACTCACTCACACATAGGGAAATACAAATAAATAATGAAGGTAAGTGCAAAGCTTACCGGCGTTTCGTATAACTTCTGTAGCTCGTCATAGAGCCACATCTCGACGGCGAGACGCTTGCGGATCAGCGCCATCTGATGACTGCCATACTTGGCCGTAAGGAATTTCTCTCGCCGTTCCTTTACCTGTGAATATCGATAGTGCGTCAGAGACATGCTCAGAGACTTAACGAATCATAGGTGTTTGTGTGGGTGTGGTTACCTCTCCTTTATCAATGAAGTTGACGTGCAAGCCGGACTTGGCCGGTGATCGCTCGGTGGGCGAGAGTGCGGGGTGTGGGGGGTGCGCGTGCGCGGGTGGCGCGGGATACCCGCTCGCCGCCGCCACGCCGCACTCCATGCCGCACGCCGCTGCGCCTGCACTGCCGCGGCTCTGCAATACAATATTACCTCGTCAATACAGATAACAGAAACAATACATCGTCATCAGGCATCAATCCTCATTACTTAGCCTGGTATACTACAATCCAATGGAAAATAAGAACATACCATTCTTTGTGATCTAATAAGAGGGTACCTCCTCATCGATACATGTGCTTGGATATGTATCAATGTGTTACAATGTACACGTGCGTCAGAAAAAATATTAATCATATATTTGTATGGATATAAGTGATCACGTAGATCTGACATACGTGACTGAACACTGTTACAGTTTAAATAAAGTCCGAGGGCACTAAAATACTTTTTTTGTCATCGATATTGTCCATTCCGATACAACAAGGTACCTGAGGCAGTATTGTAAGTATGTCGGTGAACTATCTACTAACTTACATTGTGACGAACGATGTTCGGCAGTACTTTTTAATTTATATCATTATCAACAACAGCCTTTAATAGTCCACTGCTGGACATAGTCCACTGCTAGACAGGAGGTTTTAGCCTACTATACGGAGCTGGCCAGACGGGTTTGTATAGGGTTTGTTTCAAGTTTTCCTTCTCTGCAGTGATGTTGCCTTGCATAGTTTTCTCCCTTAGTCGGCTCTTACGTCACCCACAGGATGAATAGGGGTGGTGACACTCCGTATTCTTAATCCGTCACCACACGGAACTTAAAACTAAATAACTTAAATTTATATAATAAACTATTTTTTTTAAGCGCACTAGGAATATATCCTGTGTCGCCTTTACAAACATACATGAAACACCGATTAAACAATTTGTAGATTACACAAAGTGTTGCATAATGTGGGGATCGAACCCACAACACTCAGCGCAGTAGGCAGCGGCGTGATGACCGCTTAAACCACTACGCTATCCGCGCAGTTGTGTACTCCTACTTTGCCATTTAGTTTCTACCCTAAATAATATTATGTAAGTTTCAGTTGCTTCGGTGGAATTATTTAAACGACGCGTGAGAGCTGCCGATCAGAGGCTCAAGTGTGTTTTGTTCACATCTACTAGATCGTCACGGTGACCGTCACCAACCGCGACGCCGAACGCGCTCGCTGTCGAGAGCCAGTTGATCTATACAAATAAATAAAATTGGAGTGTCTGTTTGTAATATTAAAATAACCGCTTTTTACTAAATGCATATGTATGTTTACACGGTACATTTGCCAAAATAACATTTTTTACAATTTTTGTCTGTCTGTCTGTCTGTTTGTTCCGGGTAATCTCTGGAACGGCTGGACCGATTTCGACGGGACTTTCACTGGTGGACAGCTGATGACATATGGAGTAACTTAGGCTAATTTTTCAGACTATCTTCGCCCCGCGGCGTTGCCCGCGGTTATAACAACAAACGCGGGTAACACCGCGGGTCTCAGCTATAAGCAAGACACTGTCCTAGTCCGAGGGGAATGAAATTTTGGAAATATTTGTTACCCCACTGCACCAGGAGGGTTATGTTTATCGAGTATATGTATGTATGTAATTTCTTCTGAGGTATCGTTAGACGCATCTTAATTGTGAGAGTGACATAATGTAGTTATTATTTTGATATACCTCTTGGTATGTGAAAAGTGCTGCTAACATCAGTTTGCTCTCGTTCCGTTAAAATTTTAGAAACGAAAAACAAGTAAAGAAAATTGACTAAAAACTGCTCCCATCAGGTGTCGTCAAACACTGATAGAAATAATAATATTTTCGGACATGTGACACACAACGCCATCTAGTTTTAAACTAAGCAGAGCTTATACTATGAAAGCTAGATTGACAATGAACACACAGTACGTGCAGGTACATACAAATAGCACTTGTCGGCTGGATGTCGGCTACTTTCATGGAACACATTACAGCAGACTCGACACAACTAACACGTGTTTGATAATATTTGTTATCACTCGTTTCCATTACGGTTTTCAGTTTTGTTGATATTCCCTTACATTGACCTCGAAATAGACTTTTCCAGTACAATATTTTTACATTTTAAAGTCAATAACAATCTATATTTGTACGGTTCGGTTATGATTCAGCGAGGAGTGGGACATTGTTTTTTTCATTTACTATTCTTTATGATCGAGTAAAGAGCAAATGACAGCATAGAGTAAAAAAATCATTTAAATAATTAGGGTTTTCTGAAATGTTCCACGTCAGATGGCAGCACTGTAGCGTCAGGTCCAACCACCTGTCAAAACACATACACGATTTGTATTTTTCGATCATTATTTTGGTTTATTCATTCTTAAAAATGTTACAAAAGGAATACTGATTTCTAAAATGCCACAGTGTTGTGCAGTGCCTATGTGTGCAAGTAAAACTTTTGCGCCTCTCTTTTTGAGCTCAATCTTCAGTTCGGCAACCTTTCTCTGGCCGTAATCTATAATAAACTTAATAACACTTCCAAATTCATAGAATTTCACTAAAATATTATACGTTCGGTAAGAATCTGTGCTATCTGACAGCTGTTTGGACCTGACGCATACGAAGCGCCGTCTGGTGGCAGAAATTGTATCGAAGACCCTCATTAAGATCCCTGTCGTAGTTGGAGCATAGAAAATAATGAGATAGCTAAGTGAAGGCAGTAGGGGGTATTAGGAAGTAGGCTACATCGCTGATTTATAGGTAGCCATAACACATGGTTTCGATATGTCATGGACATACTTGCATACATCACTACTTACATACATCAAATAATTAAAAAGTCGATCAAGTTAATATATATTTTTTTTTAAACATTCCCAGAATTCGACCCAGTCCCGTCACTTGGCTTATCTCGCATAATGTAGCATTCTTAATCACCAATTGACATTACATTCAACGTTACGTTTTGTAGGTACTTCTGGTAAAATTAATTCACCCAAGAGACCTGTACCTACCTAGGGGCTAGACCTACAACTTTACAAGCAGACTGTGAATACGTATTTACAATATGTGAATACGTATCTACACGTGGACACACGACACAGTACGCCTAATATACGATTTGCTTGTAATATTGTACGCTTTATGATGGGTTGACGTGTATCAAATTGTTTAGCGACGCACGTGAGCTGGCAGCTCGCGAGAGCCCACTACCGCGCCACCACTCACCACACGATCTTATTGATTTATTGCGCCTTTGTAAGTGTATTTAAGGAGTTAAATATTTAAGATTTGCCGCGAGTAGAGCGAGGTCACGCCTAGTTTGTGATGTGACGCAACTCATTTCAATACATAATTTTAGACTAGATCCAGTGTGGCTTATGACAACACAGCAGTCGAAACTGGGACACCTTGAATAGTCTAATTAATTTAGTAGAAACTGCGAACGTACCGTTTTATTTAAATGTCGCTCATTCCATTCTTTAACTCACCATTACAAACACCAATTTCAACGTGTGAATACCCACCCGGTATTCGGGCGGTGTTCAACTCCAATGGGGTTCACGGTGGGGTGGTGTGTCAGAATCAAACCGACTAAACCACGCGATGAGCCAATCTTCGCCTTAAATAGAGGAGGAACCCGGGAACTCCGGGTAATCAATTTCAAATCCTACTTCAAGGACGTAACCATAGAAATCTCCAGTTTCAGTTTAGCTGATATATTAAATGTGTTATACTCTGCGTAATATAAAAGACAAGGACTTTCATAAACTAGGGACAGTTCTTAAACTTACCTAATCCGGACTTATCGCAAAATCCGTTCTTAGCGGACGCGCGGTTGTCTCATATTTTAACCCGTTTTTCGGATAAATCAAGCATGTATGTTTTATGGACAAAAAACAAGATTGATTTATTTCTAAATACATAGTCCAGATAGTGCGGCGTTATTGGCATCAAAAAACAGATAGAGGACTTGATAATGTCGCTTTATAAATATTCGAATGGCGATGTAGTGTCAGTCACACATGGTGTTTGGTCGATGCGCGTTGCCTTGCTTTGTATGACATGTATGTCATACAAAGCAAGGCAACGCGCATCGACCGCATCGTAGACAAAGCGCTACATGTATGTAGCGCTTTGTCTAATTAAGGTAACACATTTGCCAGCACCCTGGTATTGGTTTGGTTGTACCACATTGTACCACATTCACACAACGCCATCTAGTCCCAAACTAAGCAGAGCTCCTTCCAGAAGCGCAGAAGCCTCCTGAGGCGTTCACAGACTTCTAGGAGCGATTTTGTATCGGGAATGACATTTGCCCGTTGTGTGGCCACTCTCTCGCGCTCCAGGATTAGCTGGGCGGCCGTTTCTTCTGCTTCCAGACATCCCCTGCACAGAGGGCCGTCCGTCGCATTGACGATGAATAGACGGTTCAGGGCTAGGTGTTCCGACAACTATTCGGATTTCAGTCTGCTAAGACTGATCAATCTGCAGGTGAGTCGTGCTTTGAATTGAGTCAGCACCAGTTTGGACTGTCTGCAGCCGGGTGAGTTTTTCCACCTCCGGTTATGTGTTTCACGAGTCCATTGCTTGGCTCAGAATCGTATTTGGTTAAACGGTATTGGCAGGCGCCAGCCCCGAGGTAATACCAATTGTAATACCACATGTAGATGTCCATCCATGTCTGTACAAAACATATACTGTAGCGGTGTACAATAAAGATGTAAAAATAAATACAGTGCTAATACTATTTTTTCTGTGTACTGTTATATATATGTATATATCACAAATAGGTGCATTGACGTAAAGCGATTTCACAAATATTCGTGACAAAAAAATACAGATTAAGATAGTTTTAGAGACACACGTAAGTACCTACCTACCTATAAACATTATCACAATATCAATGTTACCGATACCGGCTAATTATCTGCTTGCTTTTTCATGTTTACTTATTATTGTTATTGTATGATAGTTGCAACAAATATGAAAGTACTTAGGTACTCAAAAGGTTTTGGTATTGTTCAATTCCAGGACTAGAATTTAAATACGTGTGTATTTGCGCTACTCATCATCATCTTTGAAGCATGAACAACTGGCAACAAGAGACTTCGAATTTATTTTTGGCCTTTCATACACCTCGTCAGTGATGTTTGCAGACGGTTTAACTGTTTTTAAATGATATACACAAGTCAAGACGTACTTATGATGGTTCTACTGATACCAGCTAGGCCCTAGGGTATAATCCCAATGGCAATAACACCGATAAATTGTAAAACAACTACTTAATTATTCATTGATATCTTCAGTATCGTGAGCGCATGACTTTTGGTATTCTTTCCTAAATCGCCAAAACAGCTATGCAACAAGCCCTCAGTCAACATACAAGTGAATTGTCCAGGTCATGAGTGAGCTGTACATACAAAAATAAATAAAGCATTTCATCTCTACAGTAGAGGGTTCTACTCGCAATGAAATGTTTGGATCGAATTAGATCGGGTATTGAGATGAAACCTGGGCTAAATATGTGTAGGCCAAGGTGTGCATCCGTGAAGTGCAGCGACCTCGTGCCGGGGACGGACGAGAGGTCGGCATCGCGCCCGGGCTGGCTCACGGGCCACGGGCCGCGGGCGTTAGCCGCGCCATCGATCCGCGCCGCAACTACGCGCGCTCCCGACGCGACGGTGGCGAGTATGCGGACCCGCTGAGATGCACGGGCGCTACTCGCACCCGCCACCTACAATAATCGCTACTATAATCTCCATGTTTTATTGCATAGTCTGTTGATATCGTTGCATCTTTATTTCCCTTCGCACTCGGTTCAACTGGGCTTCCTATATGCATAATCTATTTAACAAAAACCGCTGTTTAAAATATACATTTTTTAATTTGTAGGTACCTACTTGACTCAGTGTGGAATGCTGAAATACAGAAAGTGTTTGATAACGTCTCCCAATAATAAAGATCTAAATGAGAGGATTTAAGAAAACTTATAGTAAATGTATTCGAGGTGACAGAACCAAAAATAATCCCTGCTTCACTAACTATCGTTTTACATATATTTTTTTTGCGGATGCGCCATGACGCAACCTTCCCGGAGGCGTAGTGTGTGTACGGTCAAAGAGCTGGGTGTCTCGCCGTGAGAGCACAGCTCGGGTCGCACAATGGGCCGCGGCGAGGTGTTCCTCAAACATGCATACGGTGTGCGCCACTCACTGTGAAAAGCTTTCAAGGAACAAATGGATCTCGTGGCGCGACGCCGCCGCCTCACCACCCGTGCAGTCTGCCACCCACACCCCGTCTGGCCGCGGACACTCACACTTTATAATTACTTTTACATTATTAACTAACATAGAGCAATGTAAACAGGTGAGTCATACGGACATTAAATTTGGAAACGATCAGTCAATAGTCTTTTGGAGTGCAGCGAGTAGTGCCAATAACATCGTACCATTTTACACTGTCTTTCATTGAAGCAGCCCTCGTACTGCACAAATGTAGTGCCCACGTGCGGTGTTCTCATCTACTCGTACGTCCAGCGATCATTATACCGTATTGTCGGAGTCTATTTAAGTCCTCATCAACCACAATGTAATCGAGTGTTTATGAAAATTTAACATAATTAACCTGAGGTTTATAGTAAAACTATGAGCACGTTATCAAAGTACCTGAAACGAGCGTTAATTAATTCCGTAATGTAAACAGTCCTAGGCGTCGTCCAAAGTACATATTTTGACGCAAATAAAACAGTTCGAGTTGATGTGTGTGTAATGTGTGTTTAATATTTATTCAAATTATTTTTTCTCATAAAGAAACTATAAACAGCAATACAGCAGTCAGCATGGAACATGCAAATATAAATTTTCTACACGATGCGGTGTTTTTTCACCATTTTATGACATCATCGGAGTTTCTTTTGGGTTGTGCCGTGATTGATCGTTTGTAGTGTTCGTGTGCTACACAGAGGCATGTGCGTTATGGATTGTCGGAGGAAGGAGGCAGTAAATAAACTATAAGCAATAGAGCGTGACTTCTGTGAACGTGTTAACGATCGAGGGCTGGACCCGGTGGTGGAGTCGAGCGGCGGTTCTCAGTAGTGGGTGGTGAGGCGATTGGTGGAAAAAGAGGATTTAAAATTAAGTCATATAAAGGTATAAAACTTACCTTTATATGACTTAAGTAACTTACTTTTCTAGATTTTTTGAAAATATAGAATAAAATTTTAAATTAAATTTCAACTCAAAACAAGCAATGTTGATTGTCTTGAGTCTGTACTAAGTCTACATTGTCACACCTCGTTGAAGTGGCTTTTTTCGTGAGACCGTCATCATCATTAAAGTTTACAATCGTGATGTTGAACAGGATACATTTATTAGTATGTATTTAGATTTGTACTCAAAATATCGCAATTCGTTTAAAGTAAATAAAAACCCCGCCAAATACCATTTACTAACTTTTAACGTGTTCCATAATAAATAATTATTAGTTAGGGAATTAACGCGACCATTTTGCAAAATTTAAGAATGTGGGTTTCAGGGATCTGTTTGTCATTGAAATACGACCGAATTGTACTATCTACAGAAAGTTTTGAACGATTCAACGTCAGGAAGCGCTGTCAAATAGATCAGCTGTACAGTAGCGATCCAGTCTTGTTTAGATGTTAAAGCCGCTTTAAATTCAATTAATGCCAATATGTATTTACAAACAATGTGAGCACGGTGCGCGAGGGCGAGGAACGTTGCAACATCACACACAGGTTTAAGCTGGGTAAACATAATGTGCACCACTGGCGCGATGTGACTTCTGTACACAATGACTTGACGTGTCATGTGAAGCCCCGTATCTTGTTATGGATGCGTCAGTTTCCTCGATGCGTTTGATAAACACTTTGTCAAATCAGTAACTTCGACCGTTGCTGCAGCTTACGTAAGTCCTGGCTCCTAAATCTATACAAATAAATAAAATGGAAGTGTCTGTTAGTATTATCAAAATAATAGGATTTTTTCCTGCTCACACGGTTATTTGTACGATATCTATGCCTAAAAACCAGTTTTTTTTGTCCGTCTGTCTGTTCCGTATAATATTCTAAACGGCTGGACCGATTTTGATGATTTATTTTAATACCAGGTCTATATAAGGAGTATCTTAGGTTATTTTTAACCGATTTCAAAAATGAGGAGGTTGTCAATTCGGATGTTTATATTTTATTTTTATATTCGGGCGTAACTTATTTATAATAATAATATCCCGAACGTAAAACTTTCGCACCCGCACCTTGAGTGATTCAAATTTCACTTACACACTTACGTTTAATAAAGTAATTCGAAGCCTATAAACATTTGCATTTATTTTCGTACACCGATCAATAGATGATACTATGATGAGATAAAAACACATTAGACAATATGCAAATTTTGAAAAAGTTTCGATTTCTGTTTTTGCTGCCCCCTTCAAAAATTCCGCCCGTGTGCCCGCTCTGTATACCCGTACCCGGCAGCCCTGAGGCAGCTCTTTTCAAACTCAACGCGAACGAAGACGCGGGTACCAGCTAGTTCTGAATAAAGTTAATTGTTAAAGATAAGAGAAGGATTGCAATTATTTGAACAGTTATATAAGGTTTGTTATTTTTAATACTCGCATAGGTTAATACTAATCTTGACTACAAATAAGAACGGATCGTAGATACACTCCATTCTTATTATTTTTGTGGCGATGTGAATTCACTCTTAACGCGAGACGATGTTACTAGAAATAAATCGATTACCTTCAAGATATTGCTTATTTGACAGGCACAGATAAGTTAACGCTACCTTACACGGTCACTGGTTAGATCCTCAGCTACAAGTAAACTATAGCTCAACGCCCAACGGCCCAATTCATCCAATCCATTGTCCCCGGTCTTGTGAAGTGGCTGACTAACTGCCGAGTTTAATTTACAATTATAATACTGTCGTTCCATTAAGTTATTTGAGCATATCAAGTGTGTTTAATAAACACATAACAGCCATAACCCTCTGTCTAGCTTCAGTTTGCTCAGCTGGTAATAAGCGAGCATCACACCGACCATATTGAACAAACCGACCCTTCTCAAAAAATATACGATTTCTAGAGTGTAAACTGTCGTTTTTACTTTTCTTTTATTTGAATTTTTACTTAATTATTTAGTTAGACATTGTAAATGGTGTTCCTACCACCTAAACCTACACCTGCGTTTGTCTAATCTACCGTCTAATACTCATATGTTTACAAGTTTTCAGTAAGTATATTTATGTAAATCTGCATTTAAGAGAAGCTTAAGTGTTGAGGTTGGCTACTTCGCCGTCAAGACTACGCCACGAGCTGGAGCCTTACCGATGGTCTAAAATCTAATACCTTTAAAGAAACAATTCATTATATTCATTATATATATATATATATACAAGAATTATATATATATATATATATATATATATACTCGTATATTTTTATATGATCTAAATCTCGGAAACCGCTCCAACGATTTTCATGAAATTTAGTATGCAGAGGGTTTCGGGGACGATTAATCGATCTAGCTAGGCGAGCAAAGCTCGGTCATCCAGGTACTAGCTTATAAATTATACAGAAAACAGGATCTCCAGTGAGTTACTCGTACAGACTATCGAAAGAGCAAAACAAGTGCCCGCCGCTGGAGGTTCGCCGTGAAATGATCCAAGATCGTTGACCCTGGGGTCGTCGCAGTCGTTTGCGCGGTACTAACAAACAACATCCGAATCTTAAGGAGTGAAGGTATGTAGCACACACTCGCAAAATAGCGAACAAATTCACATGTAACTGTCTGTTATATACCTCCGTTTTTACATGTACATATCGTCCACAGCCGCATCTTCCAGTACCAAAATAGAGTTGCTCCAGCGGCTGACGTTAGTGTTATGATATCGAATGATGCGACCGAAATATATTGCGTTTATATCTATACAGGTACCGGTCGCCTAATTCATGAGCGTTGTGACGCAATGACGCGGACATACTGGGAGTTTGGACGTTGGAGCACCGCCCTCGCATCATTTCATATTTAATAGCGACGCAGTGACGAGATGAGTTCCAACACAATTATAACAAAGTGTCCCCCGTGTACAATACACCAAAATCCTTTAAATATATTAGTCCATGGCGTGGACGGTAACATAGCACGCATCGATTGAAGTCGAAAGTCCAAACGTTCCCGAACTACTAAGTCGAGTAACTGTGTCTATTTAAAGTCAGAAATGATGTATGTTCCCAGGTTGTGTAGGTACCTATAAATTGAAGGTACAATGTCTTGAGAATATACTGTAAAAAAATTCAGACGGAAATTGGAAATATTGCCGCACCGAAATTTTTCAAGAGCGCCTTAATACGAAATTTCTAGCTTTTTTTTTAAAGAGAACTCCCGCATTAGGAACTTATATCCTGTGTCGCGGGGGACTTTACAAACATACATGAAACGGACACAAAGAACGCCAAGACTCAGAACAACAATTTGTGTATCACACAAAGAGGTGTCCCATGTGGGAATCGAACCCACAACACTCAGCGCAGTAGAAAGCGGCGTGGCGACCACTTAAACCACTACGCCTTCCGTGCAGTCAATCACTTTAGCATGTATATTTAACGAAGGATTGTTCCCAATACTAAAAATATTGGGAGTCATGGACGTTATTCTCGACCTGTATACGCGTTTGCAAAATCCTACAATAACTCTCGGATCGCAAAAGCGGAAAATGCCAC